CCCCCCCATCGCTCCGATCCTCTGCGTGCATGCGGATGGCTTTATCAGGAAGGAGAGAGGCTCCGGCAGCACCGTTGAACGCCCCGAATTCGTTCGGACGTGAGCGGTGGGGAATGGGATCTGATTCTTTTTTCGGATGTAGAAAACTGCAGGCAAAATATCTGGGGAGCGGCGAAGGAGCGGAGCGGAGAACGGCGCTCGGAGGGACAGAAGCGGATCGGGGGGACCCACACGGGCACATATGGGGGAATTCCGCCGCCTCCAATCCCGGAGAAAAGTCTCAAATATTCCCGGGTCAGGGGGCACCGGCTCATTAAAACCACCGCGGTCCTGGAACAGCACCGCAGACATTAAAGCGCAGTATTTTTCAATTAGAGCTGACGAATTCAATCAAAATTCCATAGATTAGGATGAAATGAGGCATGGGTCATTTACAGGGGAATTTAATTGCAGAGCCATTAGACAAATAGTATATTTGCCATTCTCACATTATCCATCATTTCAGACATCAATAGAAGGAACAGCATCTTTACTAATACAGCAGCACTTCCCAATCTCTGCCTGTAAACACTCCCTTTCCCCATAGCTCCTGATTATATCTGATTTCATTTAAAGCCATGGGGGATTATAAATGCTCATGCAATCAGGTTCATTAGGACTTCAAAATCTCATTTCTGATTCGTATCGCTTTGCGCATCGCCCGCCCCGGCGCGCTGCCACCGCTCTGCAAACCCAACGCCGGGGCCGGGTCGGGGCTGGGGGGGCTCCGATAGGAGCACGGGACCCCCCCGGGGCTTCTGGGCCGGCTCCTGCCCGGGGTGGGGGGATCAGGACCCCGCAGGGGTCTCGATGGAAGACTTCGGGATCTCCTTTGGGGTCTCCGTTGCATTTTCCCTCGCGGTCCCATTTGGGATCATTCTCGGAGTCCCCTTCGGGGTCTCTTCTGGTCTCTTTTAGGTGTCACCTCCCCTTTGCGGTCCCGTCAGGTCTCTCCCTGCCCCGTTCCATTCCCAGCCCCCTGGGAAAGCGCAGCCCACGGCCGCCTTCATTCCCACCATTTGGGGGTTTTGGGGGACGGAAGCTGCCGCGCGGGGCTCTCGGCATCCCCTACGGCTGCGGGGAGTGGGGAGCAGAGCCGGACCCGACCCCCCGGGGCAGGGCGAGGAGCGGGGGCTCCGACATTCCGCCTTAATAGCGGCTTAATAGGAACCGCGTTCCATAAACCACGCGCATCCTGAGAGACCGACAAAAGCCTCCCGGAAAGCCTTCATTTCACCCAAATGTATCGTGTGTTAGCTGCCTCAGTAATTTAATTGGAATGAAACGTGAAAAATGTGTCATTTTTGAAGAATTTATGCATCGCTTCCCGGAAATCTCATTGTCTTAACTAGCAGCCTACTGCGTTCTGTTTAGCAGTCATAATCGCATTTTTATGTGGCTCCGTATTACAAGTTAATGCGACCTCCCGCCTCCGGCTGCCGTTCAGCCCCCGCCCGCTCACTGCCCTCCGCGGCTGCGGAGAACTGCGCGGCCGCGCAACTTGGCAACTTTGCGGAGCCGAGCCGTGAGAAAACGGGCAAAACCAACAAAAGCAGCGCAAAACTATTTTGTTGTTATTATTGTTTTTGTCCTTTTTATCGATTTATCTTTTTTTTTTTTCCCGGGCGGGATTTGTGATGAGCTTTTTGTTTTTTGTTTCAATTTTGCCTTCTTTCTCTCTTTCGCTCTTTCCTTGTCTTTCAGTTGTCTTTCACGGCTTCCTTACAGTTCTTTTTTTATCTTTATTTTTTATTTTACCTTTCCTCTCTCTCTCTTCTTTCGCTTTCTATCTCACCTTTCCCTCCCTTCCCACCGGCCGCGCTCCGCCGTTCCCACGGCGCCCCCTGCGGGACGCGCGCAGCCGCGCAGCCGCCGCTTCCCACGCGTGTCCGCGATTCCCCCCCCCCGCGAGCTTCTCGCTGTCTCCTAGCACAGCCCAGCTAGGGCACGGCTGCTCTCCTCTCAGCAGCTTCCAATTCCCCACTTAAACCCCGAAACAAAGCAACGGAGCAGCGTGTCACACGTGCTTTGCAGCGGGGTAATTCCCGCGGCCCAGGAGGCGGAGTCAAGAGGCACGGATGGCACATCTGTGCACATCTGGCAGGGATCACTTCCAGAACTCCAGCGAGGAACTTCTTTCTCTTCACCATCTCCATGCTCAGCACCGGCTGTGGGAATCAGGGCCTCCATCCTGTACCCATCACTGTAGTGAATAGAGGAGGGCTGCGTGGGTGCAGAGCTCTGTGCTCTGTGCAGCCCAACATGGAAAAAAAGGCTGATTCTCCCCTTCTCCTTTATTTTATTTGATAGTGAGTGTCACTGAGCAGTGAAACAATTGGGTGAGTGCTTCCAAGGGGTGTGTGTGCACACGTGCTTTGCTTCAGCAGTCAATCATGTGGGGATCCAAATGCTCCCTGCTGTTTCGTGCCAAGGCAGCACAGGCAAAGACAGCCCAAAGGGCTGCACGCCCACCATCCTCCGTGCCTGTTGACAATGACAGGCAGAATGGGCACAGGAGATGGCACCGCAGCCAGGGGAGTGGGTGAGAATCCTTGTGAGCTCCTTGGTCCTGAATGTCACCCACACCTGCAGCACACCTGTAGCAGCCACTCCTCATTTTATTACTCCTTACAATCCATGGAAAGCACAATTAGAAAAGAAAGAAACAAACAAATCCATATCAAATTACAGCTGAAAGCACATTTTGGTTATGCTAGAAGTCCCTGAAAAGCACCGGTCTGTCATGACGACGGTGGCTCCTCTGCTTGGCCAGCAGCAATGGATGCTGCCACGGGGAAGATGCAGAGGATGGCTGTGAATTCAGAGCAGGACACCCTCGGGTTCCAGCAGCAGATAATCCAGCAGTGGTTTGGGCACGGGCAGTGATGGGATGAGGCAGTGGCACCGGCTGCCAAATTTCTTTCGAATGGTGGAACGGCACAGGTGCTGTAGGGACCGGACTGCGCCTGCCAGCCGGAACAAGGACTCATAGAATGGCTGGTGCTGCTGCAAAGAGAGGCAGGGGAAATAAATAAGCACCTTATTATTATTATTATTATTATTATTACTGTTATTTAGTTAAGCCAAGCAAGCCAGAGATGGAGATCTAAGGGGAGGAGGTATGAAATCTGCCGTCCGTGTTTGGTGATGCAAAGGTGAGACGGCTCTGTTAAAATGGGCTCCAATGCTTACAGCTACACTTATTTCTGTTTTCTATTTTCATTCTTTTTTCCTCCTGTAGTGGCAATGCTAAGTCATGGCCTGAAGCAGTGATTGAGCACCTGGTGAGAAGGCAGGGCCAACCCAAGGGAGCTCAGGTGCAAACAATGTACCAGAGTGATTGGAAAGGGCTGGAGCCAGGATCCACCCCTTCCCAGACCTTATTTAAGAGTTGGCAGTAGAGGTGAGGGCCTCCCTTGCTGGAGATCCCTGTCTAGCTGAGGTCTTCTAAAGGAAAGATCCATCTATCCTCTTTCTCTCTCATTTGCTGTAGCTAAAGACTTTGCCACTCTGCTTTTGTGGCACCCATTATAGCACTGCACCTCTCAACAAAGGGAGCTTCAAGTGTTTTAATTTCTTTCTGGGATCCCGTTTGGTTTGTCTGGTCACCTGGAAGCTACCTGCTTGTGACAGCATTTTGGTTTATTTTCTTGCTGGCACCAGTCCCTGTTGTGGCACAGCATGGGGGTGGGCTGTGCTGTACAGCTGGCCCCTTTGCTCTAGCCTTACCTGCAGGACCTCCTCTGGCACAGCCTCCACCCACTTCTCAGAGATGGGGATTTGTGAGTAGGAGTTGATGAGGATTTCAATGATCTCTGGCACAGCTGCACAGGACCTCAGCACCTACTCATGGGCAAAGAGGGAACAGGTGATTGGGGGGTTAGATGGCATTTCCCAGAGTGGAATGTTTTCTGTAAGCTGTTGATGAGGCTCATCCCTCCCTTCTGCCCTCTTAGAGGGTGACTGGGGTGGTCCCTTATGGATCTGAGTTGCTGTCTGCCTCTGTGTATTTTGGACACGTATTTGAAGGCAACAACTCCCTTGTTGTGGCAGTGTTTCATCTGGATGTGGCTCTTGACTCCTGTTTACATTTTTGGCTTGTGAGTGTTAAGCCTGGGTAATATTTTCTTGATTGTTTGATGTAAAATCAATGAGACGCACAGCCATAACAAGACTGCACTGATGGCTGCTGTGCCAAGCCCAGTGATATTAGGATGCGTGGAAATGGCCTCAAGTTGCAGCAGGGGAGGTTTAGATTGATTATGGGGAAGGATTAATGCTTGGACTGAGGGATCAAGCATTGGAAGGGGCTTCCCAGGGCGGTGATGGAGACCCTATTGCTGGAGGTATTCAGGAGGTGTGTGGATGTAGCACTGAGGAACACCAATTAGTGGTGCCAGGTGATGGTTGGGCTTGATGGGCATAACAAAACCAAGCAGAGGGGATCCTGATTTCAAACCCCCACACGCCACGCTATGCTGGCCCACCCACAGCCCAACCTGCTTCCACACACCAATACCTTGGCAAAGGCATGGGGCCATATTTTTTGGGATCCGTAGTTGAGCAGCAGCTGCACAACCAGGTGAGGCCTCAGCTCCTGCTTGAAGGCAGCTGCCTGCAGCACACAGCCCAGCGGGGAGATGCCGTTGTAGTCAATGGCATTGACATCTGCCCCACGCCTCAGCAGGAACTTCACCAGCACGTTGTTGGCTGCCCCACAGGCTTCATGCAGAGGGCTCCTCTGCAGCTCATCGCGTGCGTCCAGCTTGGCTCCGTGCACCACAAGCAGCCTGCACAGCTGCAGGGCATCCTCAACAGCATCCGGGGCCTGCCTGCAGACTAACCCCAAAGCTGTCTCACCCCGGGTACTGCGGGCATCCACATCTGCCCCGTGCCTTAGGTAGAGGTGGACATGGTCATAGAGGCCGTGCTTGGCTGCCACGTGCAGTGCTGTCTCCCCGCTGTCCTCGCTGGGCAGGTCAATGGTGGCTCCATGTTTCAGCAGCAGCTCGGCGCATCTGTAAAGCCATGGTATGGGTGTGTGTTGGGGGGTCTGCAGAGAGGATGGGGAAAGGTTGGGATCCCACAGGGCCATGGTGCAACCATTGATTTCAGGGTGCAACAGAGGGCTTTGAGGGGCCGTGTTTCCACTCTGGTGGTGGTTTGGACAACGTTTCCCTCATGCCTTAGAGCAATTTCATTCATTTTTTGACTGCTATGACAACCGAGCTCATGCTGTCCCTACACCACTGATGGATGAGGGCTCTCAGCCTGGCTGTGCCCATGCTCGTGCAGATGCCCTCGGTTGGCTGTGGGCTGGGTTCTGTCTCAACTGAAGGGCCACAATGAGGACACAGAGGGAGATGGGCTCCTTCATGCTGTCCTTCTGTTGGCTGCAGTTTCATCTCCTGGGGTACTTTGGAGAAGATCTACATAACCCAAAGCCTCAGCTCACATTCATGCCTTGGGGTCAAGTGGTCTCTGGAGCACCACTTGGGACATCCTCTTCCACCTGAGGTCAGGAATCCTTCTGACAACAGATAGAGGCTGAAGGAGCTGGGTATGCTGCTATGGGTTTTGTGTGTATATGTGTCTGAGTAAGCTGATGTGATCAGCCAGTCCTAATGAATCAGGATGGCTGCCACGTTTCCAGGACTGGGTGCTGTGGGGGAAGGGAGGCACACAGCTGTAGAGGCTGAGCTTTGTGGCACCAAGCATTTGTGTTTTTAGCTATTTCGGGTGTTTTCTGGGGCTTTCTGTGGGGTCAGGTAGCAATGCAGAAGCAAAATGAGGAGAAGCTGAGTGGGAACAGAGAGGGATGGGGAAGAAGAGGAGCCCTGGGGAAGAAGCACGGTGCCAGAGCAGTGCTTGTTTTGTCTGGCCCAGATGAATGGTAACATACCTAGGGATAATAATGCAGAAGTATTAATAATAATAAATAAAATAAAGGTTACTTGAGGCTCTCTGGTTTCTGCAGCAGCACTCCTTCTTGAAGCTTGCTAAGAACTTGCTGTCCTTGGCAGTGCAGGACCCGACAGCACCTCCCTGGTCCGCTCTCCTGTGCATGTCAAGCCCCAGTTTGCTGGGGAAGCTGCTGCAGAACAGTGTGGCCAGAATATTTCTTCAGCCTTTGTTGGTGTAGTGCTTCCAGACCCTGCCAGACTGCACTGGATCTGCTGCCAGTGTTTCAACAAGACATTAAAAGAACCCCAAGGTCTAGTTTTTTAATTGGTCTTTTTAGTTCTGAGGCTGCAGCTTGCACAAGAATCTTACACTGAATACTTTCTCTGTGCTCTGTGTCCATTGTTCCTTAATTGATGTTTGATACTATGGACCTAAAATAGTCCTCTGAACTTAGGCTTTGCAAAAGACATAATCTGACAGTTCAGGTGATAAGCTCAGGGCTGGCTGTCATGCATGTTGGTCTCTGCATTTCCTTCTGGATAGGAATGAATTTACCCCAGAACTGTTGCATGTACTGGGCAGATCCCACTTTAAAACACACATGACCCCTGTTTCAAGCAATGACTTGTGCTGTCGTACCAGTGGAAAAAGATATTTCTGCCTTAGGTGAGAGCATGCAGCAGCACAGTCCTTGCTAGGAGGTGTGGAGGGGAGTCTGGGGGAAGAGGCTGTGCTGCAGTGATCACATCCCATGGAGCAGGAATGTATTGCAGGACAGCTGACACTGCAGGGAGTCAAACTCCTCTCAACATCCCAAATATTCCTCCAGGCACACCAGTCTGGAAACCCCACCTTTCCCAGATGCTGTTTTTGTTATTGAGTTCTATGGCTTCATCTCATCCAACTTGCTGGAGGAAACCCAAGTTGTTTGGTGGTGGATTTTTTCCTCTGTAATGTCAGTGAGGGGCTATAAATAAGGGGTGATCTCCTGTGGAAATTGTGGGCCCCGAGGAGGACCACGTGCCTCCTGTTTCAATGTGTGGGGCAAAAGCAGGTGCTGGTTAGCAGCCAGCCTGGGGCTGTAGATGGGGTAGATGCCATTCATGTTTGCTAGCTATTTGCTCTTATTTTAGCATCTAATCTCTGTTGATGAACTCATGCACTCTAACACTTTTCCAGCTTGTCTGTCATCTCGTTTTTCTATTCATATCTTGTTGTTTACCATCAAGGTAGGCTGAAGTCCCATTGAACAAGGCTGGGTTAAACTTGCTGGGTTTTTTTGAGTCTCCTCTGCTTTGGTTTTCTGGGAGTACTGCAAGAAGTCAAGGGCTTAGTGCAGCCAAACTTAAGGTGTGAGGTGGCAAAAGAAACCACCAGCCTGGTGCTGTCGTCTGGTGCATGTGTTGGTGCCATGGGTGCTTTCTAGAGGGCAAAGTGCCCTCAGCTCTGTCCCCTTTGGCCTATAGCCCTGGCTACAGCTCACAGTGCCTCGTGAAGGTGCCATGGAGATAAATGGTAGTCAGAGATCGGTGTGAAACATCATAGCCAGGCTAGGAAAGCGAGCTTTGGTTTGAAATGGGATGCAATGAGCAGCCGGCAGGAGGAGCAGAAGGCTGGGGCGGTCTCAGGGAAATTTCTGTCCCAAAACCAGAGTGAGCCCTCAATATTTGTAATGAAAATCTGTTTGTTTTGCTGCTGCTGCCTTTTCCCTCCCTAGGGTTGAAGTGAGGCTTTCCTGTCCTTTACTTGCTTGTTTTTCATGGCAAGGGCTGCTCAGAGTGAACTGCTCTTGATCTTGTCTGTCATTTCCTGCAGCTTGAGGAACACTCACAGGCCTGAATGCGAGGACAACTTTTGCTAATATCATTAGAAAAGAGAGGAGGAAGGTGCTTTTCTTTAATATCAAATTTCGCCCATTGGGTAGGGGAAGCCCATTGGAGAATGATGGTGATGCTTGAGCTGTGGGCAGGTGGCTGGATGTGTAAGGATGCTGCCCAGGGCCTGAGCGTGTCTTTGCCAAATCCTCACGAGCAGTTGGTGTGCAGCTGTCCTGCACCTCAGCTTGGCATGTTCTTGTTACACCTCATCCTTTGACTTCTTGAAAGTCCTATTCTTTTCCAAAGAAGACTCCTGTTGAGTTGTGCTTACTGTCTGTTCTGAGTGCGTTCTTTCCTGCCCAAGGTCCGTCACAGAGGTGGCCTTCCTTGGGTGAGGAACAAATTTCCAAAGCAGAGGCCCTGAATGCTCTGAGTTTTGTATTCCAGCAATGCCAAACGGAGCAGAGGACTTGATTTAGCACTAGATGATGCTAAATGCTGGCTCTTAAAATCCATGCTCTTTTTTTTGTTTGTTTGTTTGCAGCAACCTCTCTCTGGCTGCACCTGGTGAGGGTGGGCTGATAGCTGGACTGGATTGATCTTAAAGGTCTCTTCCAACCTTAATGATTCTATGACTCTACAATTCTGGGAGAGGGAGACCATTCTTACTCCTGTTTTCTGCTGGCTTCTTCCAGACTTGCCTTTACTTGAGCTACCCTCACCCAAAAGCACTTCCCTGAGCTCCAGTGCTTGCCCCTTGCCTCACTTTATATTGCTGGGAGTCCCAAGGACACAAAATCCCCTCTTCACTGATTCTTCTCATGTTTTATCTCCTGTCCCTAAAGCTAGAGGGTCAGAGCTAGAAGACAATATCTCTTCCACCTCTCAGGGTGTAGAAAAGTAAAAAAGTGAGGACAAAGATTCGAGTCAGGCATGAAAAAACTCTTTCCAAGGGTGCCAGGTACTCCAGAAACACAATTCTGAAGGGGTTTGGGAGGCATTAGCACAACAAAGGAGAGAAAGAGTTGATGACCGAGGGCTTTTTTCATGCCAGCAGGTGGCTCTGGCTGGAGGGACAGCCTAACAGATGTGTCAGATTGCTGGAAGCCCTCACTGTCAGCACAGTTTTCCTAGTCGCGTTGCTCGACATGGCACAGGGCAACAGGGAGTCGTTAAGCCAAGGGCAGAAGCAGTGCCATCTGTTCCCACCCTTAGCATGGCAAGCCCTCTTCTGCAAGGGAGAGCCTGGGGATGGGGAGCTCTGGGGGCCTTCCCCTCCATAGAGACGCGTTGGGAAGCTCCAAGGGAATCCTGTGCTCTTTGGACAGCGTTTCTAACCTGGCAGATCTGGAGGACAGCAGAGCAGAGGCTCAGTTGGTGCCTGTGGTTGAGTTCCCCATCCCTTCTGCTGGGGTACTGCTGTGGGATGGGGGAGAACACGTCCTGTTCTCCACTGAAACCACCCTGTGCCTGCTTGCCGTCCTGATGCAGAGAGCAGAGCCTCTTCCTCTCCCCCTCAATTATTTTTATTTTATTTTTTGGGGTGCCAAAGAAGGCGTTCTCCTTTAATCATCCCAGTTTGAGAGGGAAACGAGAGAGAGCCAGGGAGAGAGTGCAGTGAATTTAGAGACTCATCTTACCCCACCATGTTAATTATCTCTGCTGTAAAAAAGAGGTCAAGGAGAGGAACTCTACTAAATAGGGCGACGTTGGCATGAACAGCTCCTAAAGTGAAGAAGGTAAGACTGAACTTTACTGGAACTTTTTTTTTTTAAATCTCTTCAAAAAGCTCCTAGATTAAAGCTCTGATACCCTTTTTGTTGAAATCTCATGGATTCTGAAGCTCAAATGGCTGGAAGGAAGCCCAGATAATTTTTTTTATCCCAGTCACTGAGAGGCTCAAAGGTTTTAAGTCCTGCCCCCATGGTGAATTGCCGAGTATATGGGAATATAGAAGAACCCAGCACATTGGTGTTCTGGCCATTGTTATCAAGAGGGAGAAAAATAAAATAGCTCTCTATGTAGGTCAATGACCTGCTCTTTATTGTCAGTAAAAAATTAAGGATGACCTAAAATCTACTACTTAAAAAAAAAAAAAAAAGACAGGGTAAAGTAGTCTCCCCCTAATCAAAGAGGAAATGTTTGTGTTACCTCAAGCTTGACCTCCTCAGTCTCTAACTTTAGCAAAGTCTTTGCGATTGAAAAGCAGTGGTCGAAACCTCAAAACCTGTCTGAAATGTCTATTAATTTTTGATCTTTCAAGGGAGTTGGCTTAGTTATTGTAGAAGCCCCCGTAGCGCCGGGTAGCGTAGTTAAGGGTCTCTCAGCATTTCCATTATAAAGCCCCAATATTCAAGGGCTTATCACTCAGCTGTTTCCACGTTGCACCTGCCTGGTCCCTGTGTTGTCTTTTTGCTGGCTCACCCGCCATCCCCCTCCACCTCTTTGGGGGGAATAGCGTGCAGATTGGTGATGGCTCTAATATTGGGATCTCTCTTATGTTTTGCTCAGACCTCTGTGGGATGAGGGATGTGCTGGTTGGCGGCCACATCCTGAGCCCCTTCCTCACTGTTTCTGGATTGAGGGGCTTAAAACACACCAGGTGGGGCTCTGGGGAATGCTGGTGAGATGGTTTGGGGGCTGATGGATAGGCAGTGTATCACCAGAAGGGCTGTCCAGGGGAGCCCAGGGGAAGGAAGGAGAAGCAGCTTGCTATTAATGACAAGGGCTGTTGGTGCCATCCTCCCTCACCCTTCCAGCCTGGGAAGTAATTTGTGTTGTGGGCGCTGACACAGCCCTCATCGCATCAAGGCTGTTTGATTAATACAGGGATTTTGGCTGAATGGTTTGTGTCTTCTGCTCTATTGCAGAGGCTCTTATTTATATGACGGGTTTGAGATATTTATGTCTGAAAACCTTTTCCTCTCCGGCTGCCTTTCTTTTGCCGAGCTCTTGCTTGAACAGATCTCTGACATCTGGCCCACAATACATTGGATCTGTAGTGGGTACCTTGCCTTCAACACCTACTTCTATTTAAGCTCGCTGCCTGCCTTAAGGGGAGAGGTTTGAAGCCAGGGTGGCTTTTGACTGAAGCTGGCAGGCAATGAAATTCGCTGCAGCCCTAAGCGGTTTCATCAGGATATCAAGGGGCCAAGCTCTTTTTAAAATCCTGATTCCCCAGGCCTAATGATTCAGGCACTTAAAGTCCTACTGGGCTGAAACTAGACACACACACGCACACACAAAGCCCACGGAGAGGGCAAACACATGTATTTCTAAAATGCAACATCCGTGCCTGTGTCTGAAGCACTGAGACTGATGCAGCTGTAAAGGAGAGCGGATGCACGCGGCTGAGCCTCATAAACCAGGATAAACTGAGATAATCCTAATTGGGATGGATCCACCCATGGGACAAGGGTGCAGGGTGTATCAGATTAGGAAGAGCGAGTGTGCTAAATGGCACTGATATCTCATGTGGATGGGGCTGAGGGTCAGGGAAGAAAACCCCAGGCATCTCCCAGGAGGAAGCATGGCAGCTGTGTGACCCTGGGCCGGGGATCTTTGTATAAGGACAGAGGTAGGGCAGGTTTGGGGGAAGGCCCTCTCCTTACCGCAGCGAGTTGCGGGTGGTGCAGAGATGCAGTGGGGCCAGCCCCTCGTCGCTCTGGAGGTTGGGATCAGCCTGGTGCTCCAGCAGTAGCTCGACGCAGGCAGCGTGCCCCCCACGGCAGGCTTCATGCAGAGGGGCCCAGCCCCCCGGTGCCAGATCAGGGTCAGCCTGACGATGCAGGAGGTGCCGCAGGCAGGCGGTGTGGCCCCGGCTGGCAGCGATGCACAGCGGTGTGCTCAGCTCCTGCTTGTATTCCAGCGACCACAGCCCTGCAGGGGCGAGGGAGATGCGTGAGGATGGCCTAGGGAAGTGGAGAATCACTCAACCTTGCAGGTATTTATGTGGCTGTGGCACTGAGGGGTATAGCTTGGTGATGGGAGTCAGTAAGTCAAGTTTAATGGTTGGTTACCCTGAAGTTTTTGTTCCGACCAAGGTAATGCTATGATTCTGTGGCACGGTATGAGAAGACACTCGTGCCAGGTAGATAAACACCCTTGCTGCAGGTTCTGTTCCTTCCCTTCTCCTGTGGGCAGCTGCTGAAAGCCAGCCAAGGGGTTCATGCCTGCAGCAGAGCAGGAGGAACTGTTCTTGCTGGTACAAAGCCAGCCCAGCATCTCATTACTGCCAGACAGGAGTGAGGTGACCTCTCCCAGCTGCCACCAAGGAATCTGGGCTGCAAGCCCTCTTGCAAGCATGCCTGACCTACAGGGTGCCCCATCCCAGCCTGGAAAATGATGTGAGCACACACTTCTTGCACTTTCCAGCCCCTCCGTGTTAGTAGTACGTACAGAACAGAAGAAAGCAACCAAAGTGCAGAGTGTTTCTGGTTAAGGCAAAAGGATTCAACCCTTTAGCCAAAAAGGAGGCATCTCAGGAACAGGTTACAATGAAGGCAGCACCAGGCACTTCGGTGTACTGCACACCTCCCATTTGGTTAGGTTAGTAAATAGCTAGGGTTGATCTGGGCTGGTTTCTAAAGAAAAAGTACCTGAGAGTCCATAAAATGCTTGGCTTTTCACCTGCCACTCCATCTCGTTTTTACTGATCTCAAAAACCAGGTTGACATCTTCATAGTATCTGTCTGTCAGCACCTGCAGGCTCCTCAGGTTCCCTGTGGCCAGGGCTTGGTAGTACTTCTCTGCAGGAGATGTCAGTGGATGCTGTGAATCCAGTTTGGGAGAAATCTGCAGCCTCTCTGTCACTGGTCCTGGTAACTTGTCCATGCCAGTGCTTCCCCTGCAGCCGGGAGGGCAGAGGGGCTTTTATAGGTCATTGTTTCCATTGTCCTGTCCTCATTGTCTAATTATAATCCAGTTAAGGCTCTATTGTTGTCGTATTTATAACTCCAGAGGGGTCAGATGATAATGGATACCCGATACAAAGAGGCGTTAGCACCTCTTTGATTCAGTGGCTGTTCTAATTGCCACTGGCAGATTGATCCCAATGCCCTTGTTTTAGGCTGGGAAATGTAACCAGCTCCCATCCGACCAACCCCATATAAACATTCATGAGCTCTGTATAAGAGAGTACCCGAATGAGAAAGCTTTTTTCCCTCTGACACTTTTCCATACCTGTTGGCATCTCGCCACAGCTGCACAGAGAGATTCCGTGCATTGCATCAGGGGACAGCACCGTGCAGCTGGCGTGTCAGCAAGTCTTCTCAAGGATGCAAAGCACTTGGCAAAGCCCACTGAGGTAAAACCCTCCAGAGCCTTTGGCAGGGAGAACCGCTTCTCCTGCAATGCCTTGTATAGGAGAGAAAGGAGCCAGGCTGCTCCAAGGAGGGCGCTTGCAGCCATCCGCTCCCTCAAGGTCATGGGAGAAGTCCATGGTGGGGCCAAGAATAGAGCTGGTATCTCGTGACTTGTGTCTCGTGGCTCTCAGTTACAAAAAGCCCCATGTCTTCACCTGCCAGCCCTTCCTCGCGTGCTTGGGTCCTTCCTGCAGCCCTCTGCAAGGAGAGGTCTTTGGGGCTGCTGCTTAGAGAACCTGTGCGTGCCCTGGCTCAGTGCACCCGTGCTGTTAGCTTTGCTTGGTGAGGCTGCAGTGACATCAGACTCTTTGGCCCTGGAAGAGCAGGGTGCTGAGGAGTCCTGGCTGTGAGTGCCCTGTTGTCACCACCTGCCCAACAGCAGCAGCCTTCCAGAGCATCCCCTTCCCCAGACCACCCTCTGTGTGTGCTGGGAAGCTCCGATATTCTCAGACAGACATGGGCTAATTTTGCAAGGGGTGTCTGTGTATGTTTGCATCTCGGGCATTAAATGCTGCCAACACACTGAAATGCTCCGTGACCCCTTCTTGTGAGCCTTGTAATCAGCATCTATTTGCACGTAGCACTCACTTCTTGGGTCATGCTAACGACAGGTTCAACAGCAGCACTTGCAGGGAGTTAAAAATAGGAGTGGTGAGAGCAGAAGAAAAAATCCTTTTGTATCTGAGTGGCACGAGCACATGAGCCTCTCCCAGTTTCCTCATGCAGGACCCAGCTAAGCCTGGTGCTTTTTCCACTGATGTGGGTAGAGAAAGCTGTCGGGATGAAATGGTATTTCCATGTATCTATAATGTTATCATAGAAACAAAAATGGTTTACTGGAGAGAGGATTTGGCAGGCAGAACACCTGCAGAGCATCTTGAAGCTGACTGGAAGTGGGGAAGTCATCCCTGGTCGGGTGTCTAAGGTTAATTATAAAACCATGATGTGGTTTGTGTTGCCAGGGTCCCTAGAGCCCACCCAGCTCCAACCCCTGCCATGGGCAGGGACATCTCCCAGACTAGGCTGCTCAGAGTCCCATGCAGGCAGCCTGGCCTTGGGCACTGCCAGGGATAGGGCATCCACAGCTTCTCTGGGCAGCTCTGTCAGGGCATTGCCACCCCCAGGGTGAGGAATTTCTTCCAAATGTCTGCAATCAAAATCTACCACCTGTGACCCACGCTTTGCAATGATGTGTTAGAAGCCCTGGGCAAGCCTCCATTTTGAGTGGTGGAGGGCTGAGATCCCAGAGTCTGCATGGTGTGCTGTGAAGCTTCAGGTTGTGCCATCCATTCAGCTATCAAGGTCTCTGTGCAAATGCTGCTCTGAGGGCCTGGGCCTGCCTCAGATTTAACCTGGGATCACCTTATGTGTCCAAAATTCCAAATGCTGGTGAGAAAAGGGTGATCACCCCATCAGCAATAGGCTCGCAACCATTAATCTCTAACGTGGGGCAGCATCTTCACCATCTCCTCGAATACGAGCATTTGCAGAGTACACCTCATTTAACAAAACATTAAGCATTTTACTTCCCCAGATCAAGCATATCTATTAATAATGACTTAAATTGTCTGCACCAGCTTCACATTACAAGGAAAACTCATCGCTGTCACACGGAAGAGCACAACATGCAAAATCAAAACGACTAAAGCAAGAGCTTGTTTCCTAAGCTGTTGCCATGAGCTGCCTCATAGCAACTTTGCCATAGCACTGCGGAGACTTCAGATCATGGTTGCTTCTTCTGCCAACCCCAAAGCTTCAACACACAGTCTCTAGACAGGGTAAAAATCATCGGTGTCCAGACCCAGTGATTTAAAGCTGCCCTCCGGGAGCAGGAAAACAAGTTGTTGTATGGTTTTTTTTTTCCAATGAAATTTCAGCTGTGTGTGCACACAGGACCCCCTGATGCGAAGGTGGCTGGCCAGCTGCTCCTGGCTTCAAGCTGAATCCATGATGGATTTAAGGTTTGCACCCTCCCAGCACCAAAGAAACAGAGATAATTAAGCCAGGTGGGGCTGCCCCACAGTTATGTGACAACCCGCCTGCTGTCCCACCTACCTCGGGAGGCTGGTTGTGCAAGGCTGGCTCTGCCAGGCTGGGCTCTACAGGTCCCTGTGAGACTGGCATGGGCATCCCCAGCTCCTGCTGCAGGGCTGGGTGCTCCCGGCGTGGGGACAGCCTGCTGGGCACGCGTCACCACATTTATATTTCCTGCACTGCTCAGCCCCATGTGACAGCACCGTGCCCCCAGCCGAGCCTCTATGGCTGAGCTGCTGGGCAGGAGGACAAAGCACAGCGGGGATGCAGCGGGGAGGTGGGCATCATGCCAGCAGCCCCCATAAAAGTCCTGTGGGTGGGAGCCTTGCAGGACGGGCCTCCTGCTGAAACACGCACTCGTCAGGAGGCTGCATCAATTTTCTCTGAGCTTTATTGGGAATTAACCTTTTTTTTTTTTTCCTCTTCAGGATTGTCAATTAACGTGCAGACAGGAATAAAACCCTACAGCTATTAGCTGCACTAAAAATACAACGTGCAGGCTTCCCCTGTCCCCTCCCTGCCCTAACAGCACACGGCGTTAATTACCGTGTGTGAATTCAGCCCGGGTGTGCATCCTGTTTTAGGGGGAATCACATTTCCATCGGCTGGGGGCTGGCTGGCACAGTGCTGCCGATTATTTAACCCCTCAGCAATGTTGTGAGATGTCACGTGGAGGGATGAGAGGGAAAGCTGTTTCCAACTGACCTTGCGTCACGTGGCTGCAGATCAGTGCAGGGCTGCTAATGGCATTTGCTAATTAGCAGTCACGTAGCGGTCCTGTCTCTCTCCCCAGCAGTGTGGTCTCCTGCTTGCCTTGTGTGTCTCCCCAGCACACGCTGGCTTGCTCATGTCCACCAAGGTCTTCTTAGTCCTTCTTTGAAGAGCTGTTCCCAATGAGCACTTCTCTCATTCTGTACAAGTGTCTGGGATTGCCTCCACCCAACTGCAACACCTTGCACCTTGCTGAACCCCATTAGCTCCACAAGGGCCCACTTTTCAAGCCTGTCCAGTTCTCTCTGGAGGGCGTCCCTTTCTTCTGTTGTATCAAAATACGAGGCCAGAAGGAAGATGTTGAGGATCCCAGGATGAGTTCCTGGGCCACAGCATCACCACGGAGCAGGAGAGGTTCTGGTTTTGCTCTGAGGCTAGGTTAGCTTCCAGCACCTGGAAGCATCACGAATTTGGGAAGGGCATATATTTACAGGATGGAAAGAGTGTTTCCCAAGCACGCTGTAATGAGAAAGTTAAGGGGATGATAACTTGCCCTCTGGGATGCAGAGGAACAAACTCAGCTATCCCTTTCTGTACGTATGCATTTCTGAGGGATTGATTTATTCCTTATCAGTGAGCACCTCTGAACTTCACCTGACAGCATTAATTAGTGAGGACCAGGCCCAGTTCATTACCGGTATGACCTCTCCTTAGCACAGCTGTGGCTTACCAAGGTGGCCATCTGGTTTGTATGCTAGTTCACACCCATCAGGTTGTGCTCCTGCAATGGGTGAGGAGCTCCCTTCCATCCCTCACCCACTTGGGAAATTACAGGTTGGGGAAGCATCAGGATGGAGTGGCTGATCCTTGGGGCTGGCCGGCACCTGGTCCATCCATCATGTGGGGTGAGCTGTCAGCAGGTACCAGTGCAAAGGTACGTGAGTCTGTCAGAGTGCCTCTGGCCTCAATCGGGGCTGATTTGGGTTAAAAGCAGCAGTTTTACCTGCAGGATTTAGTTAGTCTGGATAAAAGTGATAAGGAGATGGTTATCCTTCTACTCAGGCGTCTGTTTGTCTTTGGGACCAATGTGCCATGCAGAAGTGCATTGATGTGCTGGCACACCTGCGCGGGGAGTGGAGAAAGGAGAAGATGCTGGTCGGAGCAGGGCTGAGCCTGGGGCAGTGGGAACCCAGAGGATGGCTGCTTTGGGGTGGCAGGGAGGGGCCTGTCCTGTCAGTGACTGATAGAAGCGTGCTCAGCATCCTGCCTGCCTGATTGAGGGGCAAGAGGAATTTTCCCCAGGCAAAGTGTTGTCGGAGCAGGAGGCATGTTGCTCTTGCTTCCCCTCCAGAGTTAATTATACCTAATTAAGCCCTTGCCTTCCCCAATACATTGGCCCCCAGCAGCATGGTGTGGTTTCAGCCAGGCTGTGCAGCAGAAGAGCTCCTTGTCTCCTGCTGTTGGGACACTCTAGCCTGTGGTACGGGGCCTGCTTGGACCCTTTACGGGGTGGTCTTGTCAGCTTGGATTGGTCTTTCTGCTAATCAGATGGCAACTTTCAGCCCACGTGAATGTATTTTGTCTTTCTGAGAGCTGAACGAACAGTGGTAATTTTGATGGAGAGGACAGGATTGTACTTAGCCCTTAAGCCCTCTTAACAAGGCTGGGCTGATCCCACCAGCTGAATAACAAATACTTAGATTGTCTTGTGCTCTCCAATCTCTCTTGGTGTTTTTCATAGAATCTTAGACTCATAGGATGGTTTGGGTTGGAAGGGACCTTGAAGATGATCCAACCTGGCCTTGAATGCCTCCAGGGATGGAAGCATTCTCTTTCTTCATGGCATTCTCCTTCCCTCCACCCTTCTTCTTTTTAGAATTTAATTATGATTAATTATTTACTTAGGAAGCAATTGTCCTACTCCATTAAATGGCCCCTAGGTGGTTTCTCCTCGTTTCCCATTGTGTATCAGGACACAGGGAGCTGGGACAAATGATGATCTAGCTGGGACTGAAAAACAGTCCCAGTTACTCCTGGGACCTGGGTTCTTTTGTTAATGATGGGATCAGTATTTTTAAGGAGAAATGGCCCACCTATGGGAAGCCATACAGCACTGGCGTTGCAGGAAGCCTTGCAGAGATCAGAAACGCTTTGAGCCTCTTTTGAGGCGAGGAAGATGTAAAAAGGCAGATGTTGCTCTTCTTCCAAGGTGAGGGGGTGTCTGCAGGTGGGTGAATGTGGGTGTCCCATCCCTGCAGGCACTCAAGGCCAGGTTGGATGGGACTCTGGGCAGGCTCAATCTGGTGGGGGGCAACCAGCCCGCGTTTGGTTGGGGCTGTATGATCTTTAAGGTCCCTTTCTACCCAAGCCATTCTGTGTTCTATGCTTTGCTCTTGCTTTGTCACTACCATTGCCCATGTAAAAAGTCAGTAGATGCAATGGGTTGTCCAGCCAGCGTAAGCCTTGTGCTTGGAGGAGCACAGATGCTGAGAGTGTGCAAAGCTCAACAAGAGCCCTAAATGATTTGGGGATCTTGTGCAGCTTGTTATCTTCAGTGTTTTATTATTTTTTTTTTTTTCAAATCCCAGCAAGAAGTTATACTCTTTCTGTTCAGAATAGAAATGGCTTGATGCCATGAGCAAAAATAAAAGGAAGCTCTACCTGGTGCTGTGATGATTTGCAAGGCTAGTGAGAGACTACATAAGGCGTTTTCAAATAGACTCTGATATTTTCAGTGCTTAAAGAGGGCCAACTACGTGACACCCTTTTTGAAGTCCTGATTTACAATGGGCCCAGGCTGAGTGCATTATAATTTGCTGCCAGAAGTTCCAAAGTCGCAGTACTTTCAATAATGAGGAGAGAAACCCTAATATGATGAGACTTTTTGTATTGTGTTTAATGAAAAGCTAAAAATGTGCTAATTTGTAAGTCCTGTTGTGGTAGTGGCATCAGAAGCTTTTGAAATGCATTACTGACTTAGGAAGTATTAAGAAAAAATGACATTTTGCTACTAGCAGAAAAGTCAATTATAACGTTTCCACACTTTAGAAAATTGCTGATGCAGGATGGGAGTTAATAGAACAGTCAGTTTCACTTTGTATTACAGGATTTGGGGGGTTTTGCTGAGAAATGTCTTTAAAAAAAAAAAAATCTAACATTATCTTGAACAATAAACTCCCACCATGTTGGTGGGTCACTGGTGGATGGATGCATTCCCCAGTGATGGGTCCAAAATGTCGTGCTGCTCCCCTTGGGATGGGTTGGGTCAATGACCACCAACATGGCCCTGCTTTGTTCTGCACAGGCTGATTTCTGCCTGATGGTGGAGGACCATGTGCCAAAGCATCAAGCTCTCTGCAAGGCTGCACTTCCCCATCTCCTTGAGGGGAAAGCAGCGTTAAGTATTTCCTAAGCTGCTGGGAGCGGATGCTCATGGAGACTCATTGTCATTGACTGCAAGGTTCAGTGCTGGGTGCAACAACCCCCATGCTGGGGGGATGCTTCTCCCCATAACCCTGCTTCTGGATCACTTCATGCAGGCTGGCAGGGAAAAACAGTTCCCATGAAATTGGCAGGGATCACCAACAAGTGTTGGTACTGCTTTTAATGGGCCCTGAGGCGCCTGATTAAAGGGCTTTGGCCACAGAGGCATAACCTGAGCTCTCAACATAAGCCAGGGGGGCTAATAATACCCGAGCACATTGTGAAAGCATGACCTCATGGTGCTGGCAGCCTCTGTTCCCAGCAAGGGAGATTTATGGGGCAGGGATAGTGCCTAGGGTTTGTAACCTGCACCTGAGTGCTCCCAGCTGCTTAGGGGTTTGCCCAGGGTGGTGGTGGGTTCCCAACCTTGGAGGTGTTTAAGGGATGTGGCACTTGGTGGGCATGGTGTCCAGTTTGATGGTTGGTAACCTGTTCCAACCTAGGTGATGTTGTGATTCTGTGCCTGTTGACAGTTTCTTTCTTTAATTGCCCGTTGGCTTTCATGAGGTTTTTGATGAGAACAAGGATTTCTTAGGAACATCCCTTCCTTAGAACCAGAGTTTTTTTTGGGGGGAGGGTCCTACTTGCTGAGTTACAGCAGAAAGGCAGGGAGTGAGCACGAGCCCTTTTTAAAAGTCATGTCATATGTACTTTTCCCGGGTTTGGAGGAAGCAATTAAGCCAATTAATTTATTGGTAAATTATCTGATGATGAAGTACAAAATAACTGCAATGAAACGCTGACATTCACATTAATACCAAATTAGTTACTGTATTATGACTGTTCATACAATGAATGCCCAGTAATTTAATAGTA